TGTGTAAGTGTGCATGTGTGTGCATAGTTTGCATACCACCATGCAGACGATCATCTTCCCCCTAAGCTTGGAAACGGTGAAGCGGGAGGAGGGGGCTTGCCATTCCTTTCTCTTGCCTGTGGCTGCTGTGTGACCACCTCTTCCCTTCCTGTATCACCGGTCATGGTGGAGAGGCCAGCTGTCTCTCCAGAATGGCCTGTCCGCTATCTCTCAGCTTCAGGAAGTACTTGGTGCAGAAGCTGATGCTGCAGAGCATACAAGCTGAGATGGATGGGGATGTAGTGGGTGGAGGGCAGCAGCACCTCTCACACCGAGTGCTCCATTGCCCCAAGAGGCAGTGAGGAGGGGCAGGCCGTGTGCCTGGTACTGGCTAGTGTTGGGGAGGGAAGCAGGTGGAAGCTTCTGCCTCCATGGATGGTGGTGATGACATGGCAGCATGGCCAGTTGTTTGCTGTTATGGAAACTCTAGTCCATGAGATCTGGAGGTGCCAGATGGGGGAAGGCTGCCCTAGTTGATGTGTAGACTCCTGTTCATGTGAAAAGTGTTCTGATAATAGTGGACTCAAACCTCATCCTGCATTCTGGAGTCCTGAGTAGAATAAAACAGAGGTTACTGTGGAAGTGCTATGCTTGTGAGTCCCATCTGCTTCAAGAGTCTGCTTCTGCCCTTTGAGCTTACCGGAGCAATATTTCTTCCATGCATTCTCTCTCTTTTCCCAGTTCCTCAAAAGGCATGCCAGCCAGAGGATCGGGGGCGGGCCAGGCGATGCTGCAGATGTACAGGTAAATTGGATGAGGGGACAGTGGCAGGCTGTGCTCTGGATGGAGATGGTGTTAGTGAACGCAAACAAAAGTGTAGCCCATTTCCAGGCCTACTGGGGCAGGAACTGAGCAAAGAATTCAGAATCCTGAGAATCTATACTTATAAGAATATATTAAAGGCAAGTTTCTAACCTTTAAAAATATGTAAGCACTGCCTGGTGAAATTTCTGGAGTGGAGCAGGGAGGGGTCTGTGCTCTGGGCAGCATTTCCAAATCTTCAGCAGTTTGCATAGTTCTTTGCCTCTTCCAATAATGATTTAAAGCAGAGTATATTTCTGCAAATGTGCTTAAACAAAACCATCTAGGCTGCAGAAGTCAGCTTTTCATGGTATAGGATTTCAGTGAGGTACTTTCATTTCTTAAGTGCATCTGTCCTGAGTTCTTTGGATAGGAAAGGCCAGATAGAAGCAACCTGAAGTCCTTTCCAGGCTCCTGTCCTCTTCTCCCAAGGGTTTTTCTTCTTCTCAGCTCATAAAATTCTGCACTACTGATACATGGTGGTTCACCTGTATGCCAATTTTAGTAGCTGAGAAGATTGTTGGAGAAAACTTGTTGGGAAAACCCATCAATGTTACATTCTATACCATTTGTGTAAGTAGTACCATGTTAAGGGGAGGGAAATCTGGCACACAAAATGTGACTTTTGTGGTCTGTGCTTAGCCTTTTCACCACCATTTCTCAATCATTTTGTGACCACTGATTTTCATCCATAGCCGTATATGGTGTTCTGCTGTTCAAGTCACCCGTTTAATTTGAAGTCAATCAGGACTGAACTCTACATTCAGGAAAAAAGCATGCAGTACAGCCCCCCATGGACTGTGGCACCAAGAATCTTCTCCTTGACATGCTACTTTCTATAGATAGGAAAATTTTGTTCTTTCAGGAAACACTCCAATCCCTGATCCAGTATTCACATTCTGAAGTGGCACCATCTTCTGAAACATGCAGATTAGGCCCCAATTCTGTACTTGAAAAGGCCTACATTTGTTGCCAAGTTGACATGACCACAAATGGAAATTTTACAAGAGGAAGTCAGTTTTTGTTTGGTGTCCGAGTGATGGGCAGCCACTGTGGTGTCTATGAGCACTGTAGCCATCCTGCTTCTCTGGCTTTTGTGCTTGATAGACAAGGAAGCGGGGGTGGGGTGGGGGGACTTTTCCTGACACCATAACTATAAATCTATGGAGTGCAATTTTTCCACCTGGTTTTAGATGTGTCTGCCGTCTTCCAGGCATTATGAGAGCAGCCTCAAATTTTAGGATTTTGAGGCCTTTTTTCTTTCAGGAACTTCAGATTGTTCTGGGTAGCAATAACTTCCCTGCCTTGCCTTTCAGAGACATCCGTTTTTCCGACACATTAACTGGGATGACTTGCTGGCTAGGAGAGTTGACCCACCCTTCCGGCCATCACTGGTAGGACCCCACTCCTTTCTTCTCACTTAGCCCATATTTCAGCCCATGGCCTTCTCAGTTCTCAACACGTTAATCCTGCATTGTAGCTTAAAGAGTGCTGGCTTATGAGACTGAAACAGTAATTGCATTCTGCGCCACACACCCTTTCCTTTGGCTGGCTGAAAGCCACAATTCCTGTTAAACCCATGTGCTCTATATCTCCCTCCCTCTGCACGGTAACTCTGCTAAGGCGCTGTGTTGTTTTCCCCAGATCCTAGTGCCAGATTTATCCGAAGATCCGTTATCAGATCATTTCACTCTGTCCTTAGCTTCACCCCTTGAGCAATTCCAGCATAGTTGTGGCTAACCTTGGTTGGTTAACTGTGTGGCTCCTGTGGAACAGACTCCCCAAACCTGAGGACCACATGATTTGGACTGTAAGCCCTAGCCAGCATGGCCCAAGGGTCAGCAACAATGGGAATTGTAGCCAAAATATATGGAGGATGCCAGGTCTGGGAAAAGGTTTACCAGAACCACCACATGTTCTTTGTTACCTGGTCAAAATAGAAGCCCTCAGTTTGCGTAGGTTGTTGATAAAATGGGTGACAACTCTGTTTCCTTATAACCGTGCATGGAATTGATGGCAGAGATCAAAGATGCAGAGTGTAAGAAAAACAGGGTGGCTAGATGGATAATTAATCCATGTTGAGTGATCTTGACTTCAAGATGGTCCCCTGAGCTGTTGTAGGTGGGCTATAGTACCTCTGCATTCCATTCTTCCTGTACCAATTTGCCCTGCCTAATCAGCCCAGAGGAGGGCGGTGTGGTGTCTCCCTGGAACTCCTGCTAGTCCTCTTGCTCTCTGTACAGTGGTATCATGGTTCTCGAACCCAATCCCTTCCGGGAATCCGTTCGACTCCTGAAACCATTTGAAAACCAAGGCCCGGCTGCTGATTGGCTGAAGGAGCTTCCTGCACTCAAGCGGAAGCCGTGTCGGATGTTCGTCTTCCAAAAAACATTTGCAAACCGGAACACTTACTTCCGGGTTTGCAGCATTAGGCAGCCAATTTGTTCAGCAACTAAGCCGTTTGAGAACCAAGGTACCACTGTATACTGATCACCTCTTCCTCCCTTTCCCACCCGCAGCAATCCGAAGACGATGTCAGCCAGTTTGACACCCGCTTCACCCGGCAGACCCCCGTGGATAGTCCTGATGATGGCTTCCTCAGCGAGAGCGCCAACCAGGCCTTCTTGGTAAGGGACATGCAGCAGTGTTTGCCTTTCCCTAGCGAAGGGGCTGCAGGGTTGCTGCTGCTTCTGAGTTAAACCAAATCCTGAGGTTGCAGTAGCAGCCCGGATCGTAGCCGCGTTGACCAGCTGTTTCCTTCTGCAGGGATTCACCTACGTAGCCCCATCAGTGCTGGAGAGCATCAAGGAAGGCTTTTCCTTCCAGCCCAAGCTGCGATCTCCCCGCCGTCTCAACAGCAGCCCCCGCACCCCTGTCAGGTAAGGGAGAGCCACGAGGTGGCCTAGATTCTAGAGTGCATTCCTCATGGGACTAGGGCAAAAGCAGGGTGAGCTCAGGGCCTTGCTTACGACAATAAATGTTGTCTCCGGCATCCCTTCCCCAGGGGAACGGCTGCGCTGTCTGGGCCTTGGTCGCTGCGATACCTGTGACTCTATGTGGAATGGGGGGCAGGAGAGGACAGGGAGGCATGTAAGTGGTGAAGTCAGTAACTGGCTTAACTCCAGCCCATGTTTTGCAGCCCATTGAAGTTCTCACCCTTTGAAGCCTTCAAGCCAAGCACAAGCACGGAACAGATGGAGCTGTCGCCGCCCTCGCTCATGCCAGTGCCAGAAGTCACCGCTCCGCTGCCCATCAAAACCCCATCGGGCACCAGGAAGAAGAAGGGCCGGGGGCGGGCCCGGTAGCAGAGGCAGCAGCGAGATCCTTGGACCGTCCGCCTTGGCAGGGCGGAGCGCTCTGGTTGCCCAGGTGGACGGGGGCTCAGAGGTGGAGAGAGCTGTGCCACAGCAACGTCAAGCCCTGTTTGGGGAGCACCTTTTCTCCCCTGCTGCAAGGGGCCACCTTCCCTCCCAGCTGCAAAGGGTGGTGTGGTGTTGGTGCTTTTCCGTCATAGGGAACGATCCCTACGCGAGGTGCTTTCTTTTGAAATATATAGTGAAACGTGGTGGGAACAGAGGGAAGTTGAGACACACAAAGGATCGGTCAGAAGGCGCCTGCCTCGGGGCTGAGTACGCTGCCATCTTACTGGCGGTGCATTTTGCGTGAGTGTGAACTGGGGGCAGGGAGGACTTTGCTGTTAGGACTTGCAGTCTGGCTCTCCTCACTGCTGCCAGACCCGTGGCAATTAAAGCTTTAGGACTTGTAAAGCAGGGGTGCAACCTTGACCAGGCGGAAAGGATTGAGCGAATCCTACTGGGTGGAGTTGCACCCTCTCGCGGGAAACTTCTGCACCCGTCTACTTTCCCCAGTGTGCACCAAGTGCCAAAAACTGATGCCGCTCCCTAAGTGGCCGTGGCCAGGTCCGTCTTTCCCCCGGGCTACTACCTATCTAGCAGTGCCTCTTTCTGTACCCTTGACTGTGAGTGAATCCTAGCGGTCTAGTTGCCGCCCAGACGATGGGCTGGTAAGTGGCAAGGATTTAACAGCTTGTTTCTGAGGACTGCTGCCACGATGCCCATGAAGCTTGGCCTTTGCCAAGTAGTACAGTTATGGTAGGAGAGAGCCATGCTGTGCTTCAGTCCACGAGGAGACCGCTACGGTGTCTCTTATCTCCCCTCTACTTTATTTGTCATAGGAAACTTTCAAAACAAAATGGAAACTCAGGCTGCATTTTTGGCGGGGCAGGCGATCGAGCAAGCTAGGTGCAAACGGGAAGGGTTCAATAGGCAACACAGGGCAAAAGCAGCTTCTGCTATGTCCGTGGGATGGGGCGGTGAACTGCCTTCAGTCTGTAGCTGTCTTTGCAGTGAGTGCTTCAGTGCCCTCTATCCTGCTGCTTCTAGAGGGCAGTGACATGCAGCTGTTTGCCTGGGTCCTCCCAGGCCGCTGTCCCAGAGAAAGAATGCAGATCACTCAGGAGAGCCCCAGCGCTGCTCTCGGTTGCCTTTGGGGCCCCTTCTTCCTCCGAGGCCTCCTGCACTGCTTTATCTTCTGCTGGCTCCGGATCGGCCTTCTCCTTGGACGCTTCTTGCTTTTCCTCCTCTTCTTCTTCCTCCTCCTCCTCGTCTTCTCCTTGGAGGAGCTGCTGCTGCTCCCTCTCATCCCCCACATCAATGGGTTGCTCCTCCCCGGACTCTTCGTCTCCCAGCTTCTCGTCCTGGTGTCCCTGTAGCGGCTCTTCGGGGAGTTCCCCTGCCCAAAGCCCTTGCCATCGGAGCATCAGACCCCTCAGCAGGCGCTGGGGGTGGTACCTTCCTCCTGAATTGCGGCTCAGCCGACGCCACGCCAGGAACAGCAAAAGGAGCAGCAGCAGCAGCAGGCAGACCAGGAAACTCACGACGATGTCATCGCTGCTCTTGCCGCGGCCGCCACCTCTCTCTGGAGCTGCTCCCATGGCTTTCCCTGGAAACAGCAGCAGCAGGGCAGAGAGCGCGTGGACGAACTGGGGCCTCTACAGAGAAAAAGGAGCCAGGATGAGTCCCTGCCCCAGCAATTTTAATACGACAAGGAGCCTTGAATGTTGGCCTGCTGTCTGCAGTTCCCTGGGCTGTGTGGATCATGGAATCGTGCCCTGAAAACTCCCACTTGCACAGTGTTAATTGGACTCCAATGTAGATGTTAAGGAGGGATCATGGTGACAAGAGCAGGGCACTGCCGTTGCTCGGAAGCTGTCTTAGTTTTTAAAATGTTCACCAGCAACTGCCTGCATATATATATATTTTTAACCTACATGCTGCAGCAAGGAGGGCTTGCAATTAAAGAAGACGAAAAATGAGTTCCTGGCCTTGTGTGATGTTTGGGGATTTTATTGGATGCTTCAGTAGATCTGCTCATGGGGGCTTTGCATCATCAGTGGTGGCTCACAGACCACTGGACATTTGCTGAAGCGCTATAATGTAAGAGGGGCAAGAGTGTGTGTGATTGTTTCCTAGCACAAGCTCCATTAATACAGTCATAAAGATGTATCCAGGTGGCAGAGGAGAAACTACAGCCAATAAGAGCTGATAGCAAGTTAACTATAAATTATGCAGGCTTAAGAAAATGTGCATGCATATATATATTTCTTGCATATTTCCCCTGCTATTTTTACATAATTTTACATAATTTACTCTGCTATGTTAGGGAGGGACAAGGAGCTATGTAGGGTCTTTGGGAAGTCATCTTCACTGACTATTGTGGTTTTGGAAATTCAGCAAGAATTTCTCATGCTTATGATTGTGAAGATATGATAAAGCATGTACTTTTAAATATAAAAGCTGTGATTCTTTAGAAAGCTGAACTCTGTATACAAAGCCACCCTCAATTTAACCTCGACCTTTGCTTCAGAAGGCAGAACCTCTATTTGGTGCTTTGGCCATTGGCAATTACTGTACTGTCTGCCCCAAATGACCTGAGACTCAGTATGTCAGGTGAGGGAAGAAGATATATTTTCGCTAAGCCAGCATATGAAGGTAGACAGTGCCAATTATCAAGCTTTGTAGTAACCCAGAAAGAGCTGGTCCATTTAACTTGGGCAGGTCTTGCTTCAGCTAATTTTATAGGGTGTATTTGTCAAATGGTGAATGTCCTATTAGACCAGGGGTCAGCAACCCGCGGCTCCGGAGCCGCATGTGGCTCTTTTACACCTTTGTCGCGGCTCCGAGGCGGATACTAGCGAGGGGAGGAGGCGCATTGTGTGCCCCGACACTCCCCACTGTTTTAAATGTCGCAATGGTTTTGCGGCTCCCATTTGTTTTTTTCTTCAGTCCAAGCGGCTCTTTTTGTCTTAAAGGTTGCAGACCCCTGTATTAGACGTATGGAAGGAAGTGGGCTGTAGAAGCAGTCTGCAGGGAGTTTCGGCTAACAGTTTTGGTTTAATCGGATGCTGCATAGCCACACCTCTGTCTTCCACTGGCACTAATGGAATACAGGCTGGGCGACAAGTCTGTTCCTTTCTTTTTCCTCCATGTCACTGAAGCGAGGCCGCTGAATATAATTCAGCAATGGAGGAAAAGACTGATGCCATCAAGGAAAGGGTAATCTGGGAAAATATTAGGACTGAACATGCAGGGAAAGGGAAGTTCCAAATTAATCTTGGGAGACAGCCTGCATAACTAAGCTTTAACTAACCTGCACCTTGGATATTTGTGGTCTTCTGTGACCTGAAAGTAGTGAAGTATGAAGAAATAGGCAGAGAAAGCAGCAGCAAAGGAAACTAATGTTGAGGCAATGGGACAGGATAAGAAGTCCCTGGCAGCACAGGAACAGCAAAGTCTTTCCCCACGTTCCACGATACTAATCAGCAAGGTAATCTTTATAGGACTTCCAGTCCACTAACATGATTTTTTTTTTGGTTAGGGGGTGGTAGAGTAGAATAAAGTTAGGCTAGGAGACGAGAGTTTGATAGAGCTATCAGCAGGTTTCTTACATTTTGAGGCTATTTTCTGTGGGTGCTGGATCTGTTTTCCGATCCACTAAGTTCACATCTGTACCAAAGCCAATGGTTGCCAACCCTTTCAATAGGCACATTTGGAATCTGGAGTGTCATGGGCATCAGTCACAAAATGGCTGCCACATCTAAAAAATGCAGGACCATAAAATGGTGCAGGCGTCCCCCTCCTCAGTCAACGGGGAAAAAGCACAAATACCAGTCACAGGGAAGCGCTTTACAGAAGAAAGAGTGCATGTCTAGTCCTATCCTCCAATGAAATGTGGGTATGTTTAAAGATGTATGCTAAGTGAAGGAGAGTCTAAGCCAATACACACAGGAAGTGCGAGTGTTAGGGGTTTTTTTTAGGGGGGTATTTCTAGAGACCTTTTGTGGGCATGTGCACTAGTGAAACCTCGGGGTTGTATTCAAAGTTGTGCTAAAGAGATCTATCCCATCAGCACAAGAATTTCTCATGTGACACAGCATTGTCCCACTCCTCTCTCTGTGCCCCATATAAATAATAATAATTTAATAATAATAATTTATTATTTATACCCTGCCCATCTGGCTGAGTTTCCCCAGCCACTCTGGGCGGCTTCCAATCAAGTGTTAAAAACAATACAGCATTAAATATTAAAAACTTCTCTAAACAGGGCTGCCTTCAGATGTCTTTTAAAGAGAAGATAGCTGCTTATTTCCTTCACATCTGAAGGGCGGGCGCCACTACCAAGAAGGCCCTCTGTCTGGTTCCCTGTAACCTCACTTCTACCAATGAGGGAACCGCCAGAAGGCCCTCGGTGCTGGATCTCAGTGTCCGGGCTGAACGATGGGGGTGGAGATGCTCCTTCAGGTATACAGGACCGAGGCAATTTAGGGCTTTAAAGGTCAGCACCAACACTTTGAATTTTGCTCGGAAACGTACTGGGAGCCAATGCAGATCTCTCAGGACCGGTGTTATGTGGTCCCAGCAGCCACATAAGATCTAATGTATTTAGTTGAATACCACCTCATGTGCCTGTGTGCCTTGGTACTCACACTTCTAAGAACTTGTCCTCTGCATGTTTAGAGGAGAGCAGCCATCTGGCGCCATGAAGTCCCACAAGCAGCACAACGTGAACATTAGCAAATGGGTGCAGCAACAGCTTTCTTTGAAAGGTTGCAGGCCTTTGCAACTGGTTGCTTGCTCCTTTACACAGAGAAAGTAACTAAGAGCAAGAGCATCAAAAGGCCTGTGAGGGAGAAAGGAGGCCACGGGATGGACATTGACACTAGGGTAGCCGCTGCAGCAAATTATCATCTGCAGCAAGGGTGGAGACCTTGTGACCCTTTAGCTTCCATTTTAGTTTGGGGATCGGGAGGGAGTGGCCCTCCAGGATTCCAACTCCCATCAGCCCTAGGCAGCATAGCCAAAGGGCAGGGATCATGAGAGTCCAATGATAGCTGGAGAATCCCATCCCTGAGCTACACTAAATGGAAGCCGAATTCTACTCCACCCACCCTCCAAACGAGATACCTTGTCAGAAGGCTATTTGCATATGTATTACAGGTGGGCCGCGGGGTTAGCCTTTATCACACTTTTAGCATTTTGAAGAAGTATCACCTTTGTTAAGACATCAATGCTGATGCTTCTTCAAAATGCTAAAACAGTTACTGAGTGCTATTAGGAGACCACAATTCTCTGTGACCCATTTTTTCTGTAGAATTTGTACATCAGTCTCCTTCCTTGAAACAACTGGAACGGCAGCCAATGGGCTACAGTATTTCTGAAGAATGCAGCAAGACACAAAGCACGGATGGGGTAGACCACAGCTGACATAGGGCCATAGGTCAGTGGCAGAGCAAGAATCTGCTTTGCATACTGTAGGTTCCAGGTTCAAGTTCTAGAATCCCTAGGGCTGGGAGAGATCCCTGCATGAGATCCTCAGGGGCTGCTGCCAGTCAGTGTAGACCAGGGCTTCCCAAACTCAGGTCTCCAGCTGTTTTTGGACTACAATTCCCACCATCCATGACTACTGGTCCTGCTAGCTAGGGATGATGGGAGTTGTAGTCCAAAAACAGCTGGAGATCCAAGTTTGGGAAACCCTGGTGTAGACAATACTGAACTAGATGGACCAATGGCCTGACTCAGTATAAGTCTATGTTTCTATAGTCCCTGACCATTAGCCATGCTGGCTGAGGCTAATGGGAGTTGGAGTTCAATAATACCTTGTGAGCAACAGATTTCCTATCGCTGCTATCTACTGCAGCAGAAAAGACCTTTGCTCCATCCCATATTAAAGGAAGCAGCTTAACCAACAAAGGATTGAAGGCAGCAAAAAACCCAGTGTTCAACTACTCGCAAAGGCCATTAAAGAGGCCAGCATCAGAGCATAGCTTAACCTTGGCGTTCTCTAGCCCAAAAGCAGAAATGTCATCTGATGGAACAGAAGAACTTTAAGAGTTAAGGCAGGACATCAAAGGAAACAGAAGTGTCCAAGAAGCCAACGTGCCAGAGTAGTGCGCCTTATCAAAACTGCCCAGTGGAATAAGGAGGGAACACAGAACAAAGGACTATAAGCAATGAAAGAGAACCATTCCAGTGCTGCAGGTCCTGGGCTTTCATCACAGCAAAAGGGAAACCGGGCACCATTGATACCTTTTAAGAGCTTTTGCCGCTTCCAAGTGGTCTTACACGCAGGGAGGAAGAGAATGCGGCACCTCAAGGCATCTCTTGAATTATTTTATGATTTTCCGTGCAGCCTTTTCACCTAAGAAAATGCCCAAGGGAGCACCTTCTCCTCCACTGTAGCAAAACAAATTCTAAAGCAGCAGCAGAATGGCCGCTGTATTCCCACCCACCCTGCCAGTGGAAGGAGAGAGGGGACAAAGTGGAGTCCCCCTGGCCAACTAGGGATGGCAATGGGCAGCATCTAATCAGCCTGTGCCAACCCCCTCTCTTCTTCTTCCTTATCTGCCTTGGTAGCCCTGCCTGCTCAACTTCTGGAGAAAAGAGAGCCTGGCACATCCTTGCAGAAGCCAAAGAACAGCAAATGGAAAGAACCCAGTGAGAGGCTCAAAGCTTAATCAGCTATTTACGATAAGGAAACATTCTGGTTTCTAAAAGTCTTGGCCACTACTGTCTCAAGTCCAGTAGGGTCATGCAACTTTGCCACTTCTCGCTCTCACACACGTACACACTGTCTCACACACAGGCCACCCTTCCAAATCCATCTTCTCCAGTCCCATTGGGTCTACCCTCTTTCTTACCATCGTCAGGAGTGGAGCGCTCTTTGCTCTGCTGCACTGCATGTAGCCTGGAGGAAAATGAAACTTTGCAAGCGGTGGCCCTGTGTGTGCACTTTGGGGGTGGCGGAGAGATGTTTCCTGCTTCTGCTCTTCACCCTGCACAGAGAAAACACTGCAAAGCTATACTTAGCACCTGATGCAAAGAATCAACTATTTACCTCTTTTGGGTACTTCCAACCATTATCAGGCTTAAGCAGAACTTCCCCATTGCACTGATAAGCATCTCTCATTGGGAAGAAAGCCAGAATTATTAACCAAATTTGTTTCTCATGCTAGTAGTGTCTGTTCTGCTTAAATTTGGGGTGGAGAAGAGGGAGATATAAAATGCACCAAATCAAGTACTTTGGACAGCTATCAATGGTTGTGCCACCTTATTCACAAGGCTTTCAGGGTCTATGCTATGTACTGTAGCAGATTCCTGTGTTTGTTTGCTCCTCATCTGGGCTTGTACAACTGGATTAAGGACGACTCCTGATTGTAAAGGATAGTCCACTGCAGCTGATAGAGGAGTTTAAAGAAAAGTAAAGCACACTTCCACACCACCTACATCCCGGGAGGACGACGGCAGGGGTGTGCGTGTAATATAGAAGATGTACAGAGGGTGCTCAAGAAAACTTTGCAGCTGTTTCCTTGCCCAGGAAAAGTAGAGCCAGGGTGTGCTCTCTTCATTTCCACCACTTCATAGCCCTTGCAGTCGTATGGGAAAAGAGAGTGAACACTTTTCTATCCCGTCAGCAGCTTTTGTCTATGCAGAGAGCACAGATCACAAATTGGTACTGCAGTGTGGAGGCTTTGCATGCATGGTTTGCATTCACCTTACAACAACACTATTTCCTGCAGGCTCAGGCAGCAGAGGCGCCTTAATTCAACAGTGCCAACCACAAGTTTCCTGCCACCCCCCACCCCCCAGAACAGCTTCTGCTGCTTGGTCTAGGACAGGAAGAGCAGCACACCTGCCACCCGCCACCTACACCCTTCCGGAGAACCTTAATGCGCAGCGGGTACCTACGGCATGCATGCACTTTGGTAGAAATCATATTGGCTTCTCCAGCAGCCACAAAAGACATTGCTAGGAGCTAGATGCCCCACAAGCCCAGGAGATATTCTCTCTCTGCACATTCAGTGTTTACTGCGGTGGGAGACTGAATGTTTCTCAATTACTTTGCTTTGAAAAAACCTTAAAACTGCTTTTCAGAAAAAGCTCCTAAGGGAGCAGCATTCAATTCATTGTGGTATTTTTAAACAGTGGAAACAAACAATAGATTGTGTGTGCACATACACACAGAGAGTAATGAATATAGCAGTTGATAGGACCACATAAAAGGCAATTCGGCAGGAGCTAATTCAAACCAAAGGCCTGCCTGAACAATGTGGTCTTCAGCAGCTTGCAAAACGTCAAAGGGGAGGAAGCTAGAGATGTAGCTCTCACCCTTCTGATCTATGCTTCAATAGAGGAGGGAGGTGGAACAGAAACACACACACCCTCCAGCAGATCTCCCAGGGTAAGCAGAATCAGCTATTTCTTTAAATTCCCTGATCCGGGCTTGGTTGAAAATACACCAGAAACGAGTGCAGATTAAACAAAGGAGCCCCATGCCTCATGTCACAAGCTCCTGGCGTCAGCATCCTGCATTAGCTGCAGATTCCAAATGATCCAAAGCAGCCCCACAATGTTGTAGCCGTCCAAGCAGAATGTGACCCAGGCATGACTCTTGCAAAAGTGGTGCAAGAGTGTTTTACATGTATGATGTGGCTGTGACCTTGCATGCCTTGATGGGAGAACAGAGAAGAGATGTGGGAGGGAATTGTTGTTTTTGCTCCTGGCCCTGCCCACCAGCGGCTATGGCCCTTGGAAGTTTGCCTAGAAGAGAATGTGGCCCTCAGGCTTAAGAAGGTTCTCTGCCCCAGCCTAGCCCCTGTTCTGTCAAGATTTGCCACAAGTCATCAGCTCTACGGTCTCATTGCTCCCAGTTCCTTATCAAACCAAAGACAACAAGTGGGCTGCACTCAAAAAGGCATGTGCCACTTTATGCACATGAGGCTGCAGAACACATTCCTTGCACATGCCTAAGGCTGGCTGTTCCAAGCTCAAAGGAGGGATGCACCACTGGAACGGAAGGAAGCAAAGTTCTTTGATTGCCAAGGAGTTTCGCGCAACAAATGCAAGCACTGAGCAAAAGCTCAGGCAGATGCCAGATCAAAAAGGAAGGGGAGGGAAGACGAAATGGGAGTTGCAGGAGAAAACAACATGAAGCTTCATACAATCAAAGCACTGTAAGCCAACTGAATATGAAAAGCCCCCTGGTGGAGAGTGCCAGAAAACCTTTCCTTTAGGGACCTATCCTTTTAAGGATATCGAGAGAGAGATTGCCAAACTAAAACCCAGATCAAACTTGGCTCAGCAACTAAGATAGTGGGAAGTAGCAGAAACAAGAGGGAGCCTGACCTGCTCAAGTCAAAATGCAACCACGAAAGCAAGCAATTACCTATCCCTCCTTGAGCAGGCATCTCACCAGGTAAATATCTAGGCTGGCATGTAGTAATTTGCTCTGTTTATGTGTGAGGGATAGCTCTACCTACATTTCTCTTTCTTCCAGAAAAGGGTGGCCTCATTTAACCTCCTGCCTCTATAGTGCACACTTCTCCAACCTTGTTCCTCTTTTTTAAAAAATGCAAGCTCCTGCGCTACACATACACACAAGGATTGTTCCAATTACATTCAAAAAGCAAGCATGCATTTTACCTTGCTTAAAAATCCAGATTATAAGTAACAGGAAATAAGCTTTGTTAGAATTCAAAACAAAAGTGGAGCAGCCAACAGGAAAAGGCCTGAATATTCACACATGTTCAGGGCATGCAAGCCACTCTGAAACCCAGTATAAACACAGAACAAGTGAAGCAATCTTCCCATTAAAAAAAAGTGAACATTAAAAGTTCAGGTTGGAAAACCATTGCTTACTCACACAGACAGCCCTACCTTTCCATGTAAAGTTTGGCTCCTATACCCCCTGAAAGCTCTATGGCACATGCAGACACCAATCATTTCCTAACACTGATTTAGAAAGGGTGACGTTTAAGTGAAGTGTTGTTTTTCCTGCAAGCATCCAACATGACTTGTGTCCTTCTTGGTTTCTTTGGGCAGCTCTAGGTGAGCAGAAATGCCAGGGCTGTTGCCTGTTCCGCTGTGTTTTTCCACCACATGCTGAAAGTGAACCCACATAAAATGGTGGGAAGAAAGCAAATGCTCCAGGAAAAGCCTGCACTTACCCTGAACTCCTCTGAATTCATCTGTGGAAAGAAGGGAGGCAACAGCAACAGACTTGTGCACAGAGCTGTGGCTTTATAAAGACTTTTATTTGGAATGAAAATATAGATTATTGAACCTGAACAGTTTCTTTTCGCCTCCAACCCCCTCGTGTGTTTCGTCAGAACCTGCTTAGCATTTGAGGGCTGGAGGGAGGGAGGGAGAGAGGAGTGGTCCCAGAGACAAGAAATGTAAGGACTGTGACTAGATGGCAGATTTATTTCATAGTCAAGCCCCAATGATCCCATCCATGGTCTCTTTGAAGTAAAATAAAATTCAGGCAAGGAAGCAGAAGAATCCTCAACAGGATTCTCAGTGGTCCTAGCAGGGAAAAGGGGGAGAAGAGGCCTGGCCCATAGGAAGCACTGGCTTCCAATAAAGCGCAAAATCCACCTGCCATGAGAGATTGGGAAGGGGAATCCCAGCCTTCTCTCCAGTGGAAAGCGTGGGCATGTCAGACTGTGCAGTTAGCTAGTCCTGATCCCCACAGGGGGACATTCAAGCCAACCCCAGCCATGGGAAGGGGACAGGGCCAGAGGGACTCTGGCCAGAATAAGGCAAAGGGACAGATGTGGGGAGACCAGCACATCGCCCCTCGGGTAAAACAGGGTGCAGGAGAAGGAGGAGATTTGGTCCGAGACAAAACCCAAGAAACATTCCCAGTAGCAGCAAGAGAGGGCAAGTCCCTGTCTCACACCACAGGGCAGGATGAGGCAGTGTATAAAGGGATTACTGGCAGCTCAAAAAAAGGTGAAGCGTTTAAGAAGATCCATGTTGGTGAGGTCTCCTCCGCGGGGACCCCTCCTAGACATCGCCGTTCTCAATGCGGCTCAGCTGCTCCTCTAGCCGCCCAATGCGCTCGCCCTGCGCAGCCACAAGCATCCGCAGCGACGCCACTTCACGCAGCACTTCTTCAATTACCTGCCCGCCGTCCTGCAAGGAAGAAGAAAGCAGTGTCAGGCTGCTCTTTTCAACAGGATCCCAGCTGCTCAGCTCAAAACCGCCCCATGACCTGTACTCCTGGGACCAGCGGGACTTGTGCCTCCTCCTCCAGTGCATGTATGAGAGGGAGTGCACCATGTATGTGTGCACACACATGTGTGCATGTGTGTACCCACACACATGTTGGGGGGAAGGAAGAAAGTAACACTGGCAAATGCTTGGTCAACACATGCACACATGCAGTGGAAAGAAGCAGGCTATTAGACATCCAAAGAAAGAAATCCTCAGCAGACTGACTGACTTCATAGGATCTGTTCAACTAGGAACAGCCTGGCATTCAGGTTAAAAATGCCCTAAAGCATCCTTTGTCCTTGACAAATTGCCTAGTAGCCGCAGACAGCCAGGAATTCCACACAGATGCCTGAGTGGGCTAGCAAAGAGCAGAGCATGGATCATCCTGTTCCTCCTCTGCCAGTCTGCTTAGAAGAAGGCATTTTCTTCTTTTTTCTATCTGCCTCTGTTTCCAGGCTGGCTATGGAGGAGGGGGCATACTTTCCCCTGCAGTTAGCATGGAAATGCAGATTGCTAGCTGATTAGCAGGCTAGTAGAACGTAAGGAAAGCTCTTCTGGATCCAGCCAAAGAGTCCATGTAGCCCAGCATCCTGTGGCCAGCCAGATGATCAGGTGAAGCCTCAACACAAGAGTCCTCTCCTCTCTTGCAACTGGCATTCAGAGGCAGCCTGTGCCTGAAGGTAGAATATAGCCTTACCCTCCACGAATTTGCCTAAAGCCACTCACACTGGTAACCTTTGTAGGCTTATTTGCTCTCTGTGGCAAGGGTACTTTGCAGGGTATGGGAAGCCCACTTTCTAAACACAGCCTCTAGTCAAGCCCTACTGGCTCTTCTCCAACAACTGAAATTGGATGACTGCTCCAAAACTACAAAGGATTTGCTTTATTAATTATTATTATTGGAGAGAATGCTGGAGAGTCCCAGGATGCAGTGAATATTGGACATGCAGACCTTCTCCTCCGTTCTCCCTCCCCAAGGCACATCAGAATCCTGTTCTGCTCCTTGCACTTGGCTCTAACCCACATCCACCCACACCCACACCCCAGCTCACCTGCCCTGCAACCCTGCGAGGGACGACAGAGAAGCGCCAATCAAACCACCCACCCACAGAACCCCCTGTTCCGGCATAGGCGCCAGCCCTGTCCATACCCCACTGGCAGCGCTGACGCTAATGGCAGGCGTGGCAGCAGACTGAGACATGGCACTGGGGTGTGTGGCACTCAGCCCGGCGCTGGGGGCAGCAGCGGGGCGGCTATCTTGCAGCAAGCTCCTCCGGCTGACTTTGAGGTCACGCTGCTTGGTGGGCACGTAGGCTTCGCGCAGCGAGATCAGGATGGGGCCCGCCGTCTTCCCTGCCACCCATTCCTCGGCTTCCATGGTGGCTTCTGGTCCAGCTGTGTCTGGGTACAAATCATCTTGGAACAAATCTGACTGCAGAGAGAGGGGGGGCAGCGTTAAGAGCCTGGGGCAATATGGAACAGTGCTGCTCCCCCCTCCCATGGGATGTACAAGATAAAACACCCAACAAATTTGCTGTGTTTCAAAATTTCCAATTCTCAGTCTCTATATTGGCCTATCTTACAGAGCAGTCTTAAAAGACGAAACAGACAGCGTGCTTTGACTATCACGCTATTTAACTGCCAAGCAGTAGCATTATTATTAAATCCACATAGTTTCAAAGCTAGACCGGCACAGATCCAATTTCTATGCATACAGGCATATGTATAAAGCTTGAGACCTGAACACTGGAGGGGAGGGCGGGATTTGCTTAATAATAATAAATAATAATAGTTGCCTCAGGCACTCTGGGCGGCTTCCAACACATATAAAAACATAATAAAACATCAAACATTAAAAACCTCCCAATACAGGCCTGCCTTCAGATGTCTGCTAAAAGTTGTATAGATATTTAATGCTTATGTAATGCTCAGTTTGGTTTAAAGGCAAGTAAAGCACACACAACCATCAAATGAGGGGGGGAAATGCTTCTGATCATAGAAGGAACAGGGTTGAAATGGCAATGGTTTCAGCATATGACTTTAGAAGATCCTTCTGGACAGCTGGAAACCAGAGGGAAGAAAAGCGCTGGATGGAAATACCAAGCTACACTTTCAAAGGGACACAACCACCTGTCCCAATGGCCAGAACTGAAATGCTCACAACCTTCCAGGGTATATGAGGTTATGTGTGAACCTCCTGTCAACTTGCTGGGTGAACATGGCAGTGGCAACAGCCCCACGGATTAATGTTTCAAGATTCTAATGGAGAACCATCAAGCCATCCACAGACAGGTCATGGCTCATCTGCAGTTGCCTGGTCCCGAAACAGAGGCAAGGGAAGCCCCCGTCCCCATCCCTCGTAGCTTAAGCAGCAGTTTCTTGAAAAGTAGGCTAGCCCCCACTATCAAACACCCACCTTCCTTGGCACAGTCATGATAATGGGCTCACACTTGCGTTCGTGGAGTTTGTAAAACCTGCAGAAAACACACCAAGAGAGAAGGATTGATGCACAAGCAGCCAGTCAAGTCTACCAGTTCTTTCGCTGCTGTCACACACACACACACACACACACACACACACACACACACACGCCCAGCCCCTGCATTATTCAGAATACCTGGCAATCTCACACTTGTTGACATCCAGACCCCGCTTGGGCATCCATCCCATGCCACGCTGGGGTTCTTTGCTAGTGAATGTGTTCAGGAAGTGGATGTAGGGTGCTTCTGCCGTGATCTCGAAGTACCGGATGCTGGAGTCACCCTGGAAGGGGGAGAGGGCAAAAAGGATGCACACAGTGTTACTAAGCCTATAGAGGACATTGTGATGCTTGGCATCCCTGGGCGGGCCACTTCCCCCCCTGAGCACTTCGCTTTCAGTGGGACAGACTGGTTGAGGAAGAGGGCCAAGGGAATGCCCACCTTGCATGGTATTAACTCCCACTTCAGAGAGAAGATACAGACCCAGAGTTCTGGAACCCCAAAAAGAAGCCGGCTTTGCCCTTTAACCGTCTTATACGGAGGTCAGACCCTGGAATCCACTTAGTTCAGTATTCTCTACAGCAGCTTTCCCCCAACCTGACGTCCTCCAGACATTGGTAAGACTCCAACTACCATCAGCCCCAGCCAGCATGGGATATGGTTAGGGATGATGGGAATTGTAGTCCAAAGCATCTGGAAAACACCAGGTTGGGGGCATCTGGCCTGCAGGGACTGGCTGCAGGTGTCTTCTTTTGCCCTATTTGTAGATGCCGGGGACTGAAACTGGAACCTTTCCCTTGTTTATTTTACTTTATTTATTGGATTTATATATTATATAATATACCCGAAGGTATATTAAACTGCAAGCTGTCAAATGCAGACTCTGATTTTAACTTAATTTCCCTAATTTCTGCTTAGTAGGAAAGCATACCTTGCCACAGACATACACAACGTTGGTGTCCGGGTCATAGAAGGGAAGAAGGGCCCCATTGCTTGAGTCCAGCTCTTGCAATGCCATGGGCTCCTCCAGATTCTCCTGCAAAAACACAAAGGCACAGGTTACAGACCTCCTTGTTCAAATGCTATCCTTCACACCATCACAATCTTGATGTGATGATTCACCTGCCATCCATCCTGATACCATTCACTTGAGAGCAAGAGGGGAGTGTGCTCCATATGCCCATGAACCCACCGAGATTGAAAACCCAGCGTCGTTAAGACCCTAATTGAGGGGTGGGGGCAAGTCTATGTGCACAAAGCAGTCTCTCTTCAGATGTTGCCTCTCACCTCTCAAACACATGGAGTTCAACAGGAGTTCTTTGCTCAGGACAAGAGACCCTGAACACACACAGAGAGCTTACACACACACACACACACACACACACACCACCACCACCACCACATTCCACACACACCTCGCTCCCAGATCCAC